GAGCTAGCGCCCAGCTTCTGACCTGACTGAACAAAAATAGTAATACTTAAAAAAAAAAAAAAAAAAACCTCATATACTAGATCAATTTTAAACACTGCATAGCCTGTTAATAGTTGTTTTAAAACAGTTTTACAGAACTGCGTTGCACCATTATTTAACAATTCTTTAAAAAAAAAAAGATATCAACAAATCAGCTATCAAATCTTTCTATGTGTTTTGAACATTCCCCCCCCCCTTGGGAAATATACCACACAACTGCCACAAAATAATACTTGGACTAGTAAAGTGAAATTAGTATCGTTCTAGCAGACGTACTCCTTTCTTTCCATCTGTAGCTCTTACATGCCCCCAAAATCTGGTTCAGAAGAATAAATGCTGCTTCAGTACAGACTTGGACAGGGGAAAAGGCATTTTAAGAAGAGGTGGTTGTTCCTCACGTTCTACCAATGAAAAATGTTTATTCTGAGAGAAGTGCACATTCAATTCTACCCATAATATTGACATTAAAAATTACTATATTTTATGTGTTGCAATTACTAGGAACATTTATTTTAGAAAGGTGTTCTGTTACTTAAATGAGGAGCCCTTGTCCTAGTGATCAACACAAAATTAAGGTGATTATATGGTATATAAAATTGTAAAGAAGCAGTGAATTGCATATAAGCTCCCTTATGGAATGTTTGGTGGATATTTATATATTTTGTCAGTATAGTTCTTCATTTAGGCATAGTGCTTTTAAGTATTACATACTCTGATTCTGGGTAATATTTACTCTTCAAATTATGAATTAATTTATTTTTTAGCATTTTTAATTGCTGCGGTCATTAGTCTCACCAGTGTTTAAAAACAAGGATATAAATATAAACAAAAAAAACCAATCTTGTAATAATAATAAAAATATACTGCGTAAATTGAAATAACAGCCAAAAACCTAATCGGAGCAATATGAAACATTCCTATGGTCTTCTCATTTGAAGTAAAACCCGCCAGGCAAGATCCATTTTGACCTGCATTCGGAAGGCCAATAGCACTGGAGCAAGCTTAGCTTTCAAGGGAAGACTGTTCCATAATATGGGGGACATCATAGTGCCTCATCTTGGCCCTGCCCCCCAATTTTATAGTACTGGAGAATTACAAGCAGTTTTTCCCAGATGGTTGATTCTAGCTGAAAGAGATAGTTCTGAAGGTATCACAGCACCCTGCCATACAGGACTTTATAGGTTAAATCTAGCACATTAAATTGTACATAGAAACCTATTGGTACCCAGTGCAAGGCATACAGCACAGATGTGTTGTGCTTATAGCATTTAGCGCCAGGTAGCATGTGGACTACTGTATTCTGAATCAACAACAGTTTCAAAACAGCTTCATGTAACGCCCATTACAGTACTCTAATTGGTTAAGATGAGAGCGTGAGTTATTGTCGCAAGGTCCTGCCCTGCCCTGCCCTGCCAGGTAGGGCCACAACTGGTGCACCAGCTGCAGCTAGGCAAAGTTTCCTTCAGGCGTGGCCTCCAGTCATCCATCCAGGAGCAGCTGTTAATCCAGGACAGCCCCAGGTCGCTGACCTGCTTCCTCAAGGACAGCACCACCCCTCTAGAGGCAACACTGGAGCGGGTAGAGAACCATGTTGAACTAACAGCAGCTTTGTCTTATTTGGATTCAGCCTCAGCTTGTTGATTTCCATCCAGAAGGGTCTCTGTTCTTTTACAGAAATGGAATCGCCTAATGAATTTTACCCAGTGCCACCTCCGTACAGCGTAGCTACCTCTCTTCCCACTTACGATGAGGCAGAGAAAGCTAAAGCTGCAGCAATGGCAGCCGTTGCCGCAGAAGCAGCAGCCCACAGAGTGAGTAAGCAGTTTGTGCTATGTAAAAGCACACTTTGGAAACTACAGTAGTTAAGACTGTGTTTTATGTTTATTGTATAAAATCATTTCCCAGGCTGTCTTAACGTTTGCGTATTTTTTAAAAGTGCATATTTCTTATTTAAGTGTGGGTGTCTTTTAATGACTTGTCCACTTGACTACTGCAAGGTGGATCTTAGATGGTGCATAATCACTTGCCTAGTCTTGCATGACTATGACTATCCAAGCAAGTGCAATATATTTAGAAACTCAGTAAGTATAATGGCTTTTTCAGACTTTGACAAGTAGCGGCTTTTTTTTTTCTTGACTCCTGATAGATTTCTATAGATATCGGTGGGTCATGTTTAATATGGTAGTGTCACAAGTTACAGTGCCGCAGAGTGTACCACATCAGGTGCCCAGCTTCCCAGGCACGCTTAACTTATGCTGGTAGTAGAATTTGCATGGATTACCCCTTTTATTTCAGCTCTGATGACACTTCCAGGTTCTAATCTGTAAATACAGTGCATATTGTGTTCCAATAGTATCATTTTGATGATACTCTTGTATATTGTGCACTGTCTAGGCAATCCAAGAAAATGTTTAATGATATAATCTTGTATGGAGACCAGTAAGCAGTTAAGCATTTCATATAATGTTATTAGAAGATAATTTTATGGTACAAAAAATGAAATGTGTCAGCTACAAATGCTTGAGCAAAATTCATTTTGTATGTGTTTAATAGAAATAACTACCTGTTGATTTTTTTTTTCAGTATTTGAATTACTGGATTTCTGTGTCCTTGATTTAATTTCAATGTATCTTAAATTTTATCTAAAAATTAATTTACAGAAATAGAATTTCAATGTTTGACTTGTTCAGAATGATTTAACACACGTTTAGTTCTTCTGTCTTATTTTCTTTACATGCTTAGCACGGCCAATTTAGGGAGTCTAGGAGTCTATTTGATGAAATATTCCTGAGTCCACCAGAGGTATGGTTCCATTCTGTGAAGTTTAGATTTTGCAGTGAAGTTTATTAATGGCAAGCAGACATATATTTTATATTTCCTCTTCTCTAAATGAACTTACCCTCTCAAAATGAATTATAATAATTATAATATTTTCATAAAAGAAAGTGATTTACCTTGCAGTTTTATTCATTTCTGTTTGGAAGTGTCCTATTGCATGGTCCCAATAAAATGAAATGGCAGTCCTACATAGATTTATGTAGAAATAAGCTTCATGGAGCACAGCAGGGTATACTTTTAGCAAGTTACGCATGTATTAAATTTTGTTAATAAGAAATTTGTTCAGCACTTATAATTATGGAGATTAATTACAAAGGCATTTTGCTTAAAAGACCAGATAGCATGAATCAGATTGAATAGGTCATCCGCAGTCTGGAGTCCCTGCCAAGGCACTCATTTATTATATATGCATTGCTTTGGATTTGATCTCCCAGAATTACTTTGGAGCGTTCATGTGGCAACACCATAAAGCAGCCACACCTTCTTTCAGATCACAGGGTTGCCTTCAGCAACTACTGTGTGACTCTTGGAAAACACACAGGTGCTTTAAGAAGTTTCAGACAGATGTTACATGATGCCTGAGATACCCTTTGGAGATCTAATCTAAAGTACTGAACAGCCCTAGTATTCACTTGTGTGGCACCCATGCTGACTGGAGAGATTTCAGTTTTAGGGTTTAGATGCTGTTTCCAGTACAGGGGGCAACTGAACTCTGGATGAAATTGTGGAAAGAAATTGTTTGTGAAAGCAAATAAGGTTTCCAATACATTAATTTTCTTGTTGGAGATGATATGAAGAATGAATTACATTCTTCTGTTTTGTTTTGTTTTATTTTATAATAAAGCTTTTTTGTGTTTGTGTGAATAACTTATCAGTTATTTACCAGAACAAGGGATAAGATGCTCTGGTAATGCTGCTGATAGTAGTATTTATTCATGAGATGGTAGTAGTTAGTGCAATACTTTTTATAAACAGTGATGGTTTTCTACCATTCTGAAATGCTTCAGGCTAATGTATCAAATATTTGTTTGTCTTGGAGTCTGCTCACTGGAATATTCAAGGAAAAATAGTGTAATATAATTAAATTATATATAAAAATAGTCAGAGTATGATTAGCTTTCATGATGATATATATCCAACTGGTTACTTAATAATCTCAATGATAAATGAGTGTATCCTAGGATATTTGAATGTAAAGTTCACATATGTGTTTCTCATTCTTTCATGTTTTTGTAATAGTATCTCTGTACTATCCATACATTTCTCACAGGATTACAATCAGCAAATTTAAAGGGTCACATATCAAGATGGGACTTGATATGATTTTCAGTGCTTTAACCCATTCTGTGACTATTAAAAATAATTAATAATTTTTTAAAAACCTAGCCAAATCACTTTGTTTCTTTCTATAACAGAATTAACATTTATTGGCATGCAATTTTGACTGCCTGGACTTAGAGTTATAGTATCTTTAGCCCAGCTTTTGTGACCTCTTGTACAATTACACCCTTCAAATGAACCTTCAGGGGTTCTAGGGTTATAATTATTTAACGGGAAATAGCCTGTTTAATTGCTTATTTTGGCAAGTAGCTTTTAATTATGAGGCTTTCAGTAGCAAGTTGAAAGCTGTAAATTTTGTTTGTTTTAATATTTTGGGAGTGTCGAAAGTGATGCATGAATTTAATATACTTTAAAGTATAATCCTTCAGTTTATTGAAAGTATTTTTAAGAAATAAACTTAATGTTTAAGAATAATTCCCACTTAAAAAAATAGACATACACTGAGTGGATTTTTAAAAAGTAACAGTTAAAATAATGTAACAACTGACCCTGTTTCCAAGGATAAGCACATGCTTTCTAAATTAGCTTGCATAATTCTGGTAAGTGTTCATGTGCATATTTGTATTTCAAAATGAAAAACAGGCCTGAGAGAGATTATTTGGGAAGAGTGACAACTTCTGTGCTATGCTGTAACTTTTAGCTCTTTGAAATTGCATCCAGATAACTGCTTTATACAACTTATAATGCTGTAAGCAAACAAAATTATGGGGACTCCGCTTGGACCACTTCATGTAACAATTTTTAGAATGTTAGCACCCTCTGGCGTTTGCATATCAGCAAAGCATTAATTCTGGAATGCTCTCAGTACCTTGTGGATTGAATGTTGATGTAGATTACTATATTGTTGCATGTTTGCATGGCCATATGCTGCATGTCTCAATAGTTTCAAAATTTGGAGCTGGTAACTGTTAGTGAAATATCAGTTGTATACTTACTATATTCTATAATTTATCAACATTATGAGATTCTGAAGTAATGAGTATAAAATCACATCCTTCCCACATGCATCATTTGCATAGCCCCCACCATACAAACATACAGGTAGTCCTCAACTTATGACCATTCGTTTAACGTCCATTCAAAGTTACAATGGCACTGAAAAAATGACTTATGACTGGTCCTCGTGCTTACGACCATTACAGAGTCCTGTGGTCACATGATCAAAATTTGGGCACTTGGCAAATGGCATGTGTTTACAACAATTGTAGCATCCTGGCGTCACATGATCATTATTTGTGACCTTCCTGGGGGCTTCCGACAAGCAAAGTCAATGGGGGAAGCTGGATTCGCTTAATGACCATGGTGATTTGCTTAATGACTGCAGCAAAAAAGGTTGTAAAATCAGGCACAACTCACTTAACGACCGCATCACTTAGCAACAGAAGTTCTGGTCCCAATTGTGGTTGTAAGTTGAGGACTACCTGTATAGGGTAGTTAAAACATTTGGCTTTCATGATGAGTTCCTAACTGGTTTGCATTATGAATGTATCTTCAGTGATCAATAATCTTGTCATCCTAGTATCTTTTTCTTTGCAATGTTAAGACTGATCTAAGCCTCCCTTTGGATACATTGATTGGACAATATCAGAAAATATAAATAACAAGTATTAAGAAACACAACTAAACTTTCAATCTGAATAGAGAGCAAATAAGAATATTCTTATATTCTTATGTGCTTTCTATTAAATATACATAGAGAAATATTCTTTCTGTTCAACATGTCTAGCAAAATACTCTGCCAATGGACATACAGTAGGACAAAAAAAAAAAAGCAATGTGCTATAAATGGCAGCTAATCACTGCACCTATAAGTCTGTGTGCCTTTTTGAATGGAATATATGAAACTCATGATATATTTATGCTAGGAATTAGACATTCCTTTTTGCTTTCACATGTAAAGAAGAAAAGGTTCGATGTCACAAAATGAGAACAGTTAAGGTGTGTTGTTTTTAAAGGTCCAGTGTCTGCCTTACCATTGGAAGAGGAAATCAACAGAATATTTTCTTTTTCCCTACAACGTAATATTCCTGAGGAAACTGTCCCAAGAAAGCAAACGTAATAGAAAATGAAAGATAATTGCTGCAGAGAATCTCACAAAATTCTGGAAATAGAATTACTTTCTTAGCTACTAAGAGACACTATCAAACACACAGACAAGCTGGAATAGAACTGGCCCAGGAAATACTTTCAGTCTCTAAAAAACTAATTATAAATCTTCAAAGTAGCCTGATATCTATTTAATTAAAATATAGAAGTATCTGCTCAAAACACCTTTTTAAAATAAGTTGCATGGAGACCACTTGAGAATCTTTCATTAACAATTCTGAGCCGCCTCATTTATTACATTTATATTGCATATCAAGTTTTATGCTGGCATAAAATTTTGTGGGTTAACAAATATTCTAGGATTCAAAACGACATTCAAAATGATGGGATAAAGAAATGGCACGAACATACCAAATAAATTTAATAAAGACAAATTCAAAATAATAAACATAGGAATCATAAAACAAATCCATCAGCATTAGATGAGGGTTATGTGGCTTAGTTATAATATGTGTGAAAAAGATCCCCAGATTGTAGTTGATCACAAACTAAATATAAATCAGCAGTTTGTGGGAAAATTAAGAGTTGAGAGCCTTGAGTTGACCAAAAACAAAGGTGGGATAAAAACCTAATAATAAAATGTATTTTCTCGTCATGTTTCTCATTTGGTAATGGCTCAAGGGCTGCTGTCGATTATTACTGTGGTTTACACATAACTGGTAAATAGTGCTGCGTGCCATAGAAATGATCTGTAGGCAAGGACTGATTAAGGAATCCCCTCAATCAATCAATCAATCAATCTCTCTCTCTCCCCCCATCTCTCTCACTCACTCACTCTCTCTTTATTTCATATGATAAAGTCTCCTTTGAGTCACGTTCTACTCCTGGAGACTTCATGGTCATGGCAGCAATACAAAAGTAGCTTCCAATTGCCTTTCCAGGGTTTTTAAAAAATTAATCTTCAATCCCGGTCTTTTGTACTGGTCTCCAATTCCATGACTGAACAGACCTGATCCTGCTTATTAGTATCCAGGTGCTGCTATCTGCTTCATGTAACCTTGCAAAGTAGGCTAAAATGCTCTAACAGGAAGCATGTGAATTCCATTTGCTAGCAAATTTTAGGTTAGTCAAGTAGACTTGAGAGAAAGGCCATCTACCATTTTTATTCCAGAATGTAACTTTAAAGCTGGGCTGTACAACTGCTGATAAATGCGATGTAATTGCATTTTGAAGATGTGTTGTTGATTGATTTTAATAAAGTTTTATGATAATTTATGTCCAACAATATAGACAACTGAAATACATCCCTTCAGTAATCTTGATTTCATATATGGATTCTTGCTGCTGCAAAAAGCTGTGATTTACAAAATCTTAGTTATTTTGGTTCTGTTAAAATGTGTTTCTTGTCCCCTTAAAGGAAGAAGAGTACCCCCCAAGAGATGACTTCAGTGACGCAGACCAGCTCCGTGTGGGGAACGATGGCATTTTTATGTTGGCTTTTTTCAGTCAGTAATTTTTCTATTTATTACCTCTTTAAGCTATTTTCATTTCAGGCAGGATACTTCTCTGTTGGAGGTACATGTACACGCACTGCTGATAGAAGGCAGAAGTACTCCTGGTAGGATACGGGATTGGCAGTGGGTTTGAGAAAATGCGGTTGTCTGCACTGTAAATGCTGCAAATGTATGCTTTCAGTTAAGTTTAATAATTTCGGTTAAGTTTTTTTTTTTTTCATTACTGCAGAATAGTTGGGTACTTATGTTGCTTATATTTTCAGATAAGTTTAGTTCTTATTTACATAAATTCCCAGGCTAAGCTGCTTTTGGTCACTGAAGTTCTTTACATGGTGTCTTACTGATTGACAGAAAACTTTTATTTCTATATCATCATCATCATCATATTTATTTCAGTCATTGATCAATAAAAATACATACAATAAAACAGACAACAGTATTACCCCTTTCATCAATAACTATTAGCAACCATTTGCGGGTGAAGCTTACACATTATGTAGCAAAATTTTACAACTTTTAAGGAAATAGATTTATCTTACTGATACGTCTTACTGATTGACAGAGAACTTTTATTTCTATATCATCATCATCATCATATTTATTTCAGTCATTGATCAATAAAAATACATACAATAAAACAGACAACAGTATTACCCCTTTCATCAATAACTATTAGCAACCATTTGCGGGTGAAGCTTACACATTATGTAGCAAAATTTTACAACTTTTAAGGAAATAGATTTATCTTACTGATACGTCTTACTGATTGACAGAGAACTTTTATTTCTATATGTATTTCTCTGTGTATGGCTTTCTGATTTTGAAGTGTAGCTTGTAGTGAAAGGTTGTAATCCATTTTGTGGTATGTGACTGCCACCTTGTGACAAATTTGTTCAATACAACTTTAAAGTTCTAAGAGGCTTGTAGTGTTATTTTACCATAGGTCAAATAAAGTAGTAGATGAATAAATTTATATTAACATTACTGGTTAATATTTCTGTAAATGCCAGTTGAATAGTACGTATTCTGGAAAAACAGTAAATCATGAAAATAGCTTAACAAGATAAAAATGGACTTTTAAAAGAAAGCCTGGTTTATGCAATGCATAAAACATGCTCTCTTAAATATTTGAGGTAGCTTTTTGAGTATTTTTTTTTAAAGACCTTTTTTGAGCAATGTTGTACTGCGAGTGAGGATACAGCGATTTACCTGTTCCCCATAATTTATACATACAAAAACTATAAAGAACATGTTTTTTATTTAAAAAAAAAAAAAAGACCAGATGCCCTTATTTTAATTCAGATTCCCATAGTGGCATGCTAAAAGCATATTTTAAAAATTAACACAAAATGTAAAACATGGCAGCTACAAAGCCACCTAGAGGGAGGCCTAAAATTACAGATTGAAAGGCCGATATTAAGGTAATAAGCTCAGCGCTAGAAAGTCCTCTGAACAAAGAGAACTGCCAACACCATAGACTCTCCAGTCATTACCTGCCTAACCCCGAAAGGAAGATATCAAATATTGTTCTTTTTTTTTTTTTAGATTTTTATCCCACCTTTATTATTTTTTATAAATAACTCAAGGTGGTAAATGTACATAATACTCCCTCCTCCTATTTTCCCCAGAACAACAACCCTGTGAGGTGGGTTGGGCTGAGAGGGAGTGACTGGCCCAAAGTCACCCAGCCGGCTTTCATGCCTAAGGCAGGACTAGAACTCGCAGTCTCCTGCTTACAACCCTGTGAGGTGGGTTGGGCTGAGAGGGAGTGACTGGCCCAAAGTCACCCAGCCGGCTTTCATGCCTAAGGCAGGACTAGAACTCGCAGTCTCCTGCTTACAACCCTGTGAGGTGGGTTGGGCTGAGAGGGAGTGACTGGCCCAAAGTCACCCAGCCGGCTTTCATGCCTAAGGCAGGACTAGAACTCGCAGTCTCCTGCTTTCTAGGCCAGCACCTTAACCACTACACCAAACTGGCTCTCTTCTTAATACAAAGGTAAACAAGAGTGGGCTAGACAGTCCTTGAGATACCTATTTCCTAAATTTTTTAAGGCTGTAGAGTTTGATAAATATTAGTATATTGGAAGTGAATGTGGCTGTTAAGGCACAGTAACAGATGTTCCAATGTTGGTGCAAGCAACAGAGATTTGGTTTTTTAAGCAGTGTTACAAACTCAGGAAGGATGAACAGCTTTGCAGAGATGGAATTCACCTCAGTAAGGAGGGAAAGTACATATTTCAGGAGGCCTTTAAATAAGAATACAAGGGGGAGGGAGTTTGTGAATAATGGATTGGATACAGCTGCAAAGCAAAGTGTGTCAAAAATTACTAGTTTAATGAAGAAATAAGGGAAATACAGGCACGAAAAAGGGAGAGTTAACCCAGGGCATCTGATTCACCGCTTGAGATGCCTCTACGCTAATGCATAAAGTATAGGTAACAAGCAAGATGCATTAGGTAAAGTACAATGGGACATATAATATATGAAGAATTCCAGAAATATGGTGGAATGCGCCATATTTCTTGATGGGTACATATTTCAGAGGAATAAGCAACACGAGAGACAAAGTAGTGTAGCATTGTATATCAGGAATGAACTTATATATAGGTCCACTGGGCTTATGGTAACACAAGTGTTGAAAGCATCTGGATTAAGATAAAAGGACAAGCTAACCAAAGGGGTGTCTTGCTGTGAGTCTGCAATTAATACTAACACTCCAATTCCCTGCCCAGCACTCGCTAACATCCCTTACTTAAGCATCTATCTCCTCCCAAATTATTGCTCGCCCACACTCTCACAACCTCCAGCCCTACTCCCAGTGAAGTTGTCTAGCCAGGCCAGTGTGTCATCAAAACAATCCCATCTCTTACCCAAATTCACAAAAGCAACCCAGTCTCCTTCTCAAGAACATTACAAACCACGATCCCAGTTGAAGGAAAAGAATCCCCCTACCTGATCTCATCATTACAGGAAAGATGTCCATTTTTAACCTTCCATCTTTCACATGGGGTAAAGTTGATAGAAACCAGTATTTTCCAATTATTTTCACAGTTTATTTCTGTGACACTCTGACACCCAGCAGGATCCAAACAGAACTCATTCTCTAACAGTCTTTTACCAGGCATTCAAGCCACAAGTCTTATTGCAATCAAGCAGGGACTTTCTGGACAGGTTTCCATGTCCTAATCCACTGATGCCACTATCTCACCAGGATACATCTGGCTGGATGTTCTGGTCTCTACTTCAGGCCTCCCAGCCTTCCAGTCCCTTCCAAAGGCCAACACACCAAGGCCAGCCTCTTCCCGTTCCAAGAGATTGATTCTCTTAGCCTAGTCTTCTCTTTTGCTACCCACAAACTCTGAGCTACCAACCTTGGACAAGCTCATTGCACTTAAATTCACAACTCCTGCCAAACCCACCACAGCAGCATTTTTTTGGCATATGGGTACCCAAACCATTCAACCTCTGCCATTTCCACTAGTTTCTGGAGCCCAGCCATATCACAGGCAGGTCTGATACAAGATATAATCTCACTTTCTCTATGGTAGATAGAGAAGGAGGAGGAAAAAACATCTCTGTTAAAACAGTAGCTTTTACAACTAAATTTAGAATATACTTCAAATGTTTTGATAAATGCATCTTTGTGGATAGAATGTTGCATTCTTGTTGGAATTGGTTCATAGAACCATGTGAGAATGTTGGATTTAGAAATGATAAGGAGATCCTTGTTTGTATTTTCTTTATATTAGAGGTATAAAGTAGCCATACTTACAACATAGTTGTAATTCCTGCTTTTTTCTTTTTTGTATATTATTAAGATACACATTTTTTTGCTTATAGTATAGATTTTTCTCTATATGCATTTAAATGTCCAACTCATTCACCTCAGTTCAACTGTATGTCAGATTAGGAGCCAGAAACACTTTTAAGCATTAACGTTAACAATGGCAAAAATCATATACATACATACATACATTATATATATAGCCATCTCAATAAAAAGCTTCAAATCTTACAATTCTCATCTAAAATTTCATGAAGATTTCTTATCTGATTTTATGCAAGAATGCCAAAATCTTGTAAGATAAAGACCTTTTTTTTTAAATTAAATTTTTATTTCACTTTGGGTTTCTATGGGCAAGATCTAGAGATGTTAAGAATCTGCCTTGCCATCACCTGATATCCGTTCTCTATCCTAAGTAGTTTTATTGTTAATAACTGCCTTAAGTTTGAAAAACATTTAAACACCCAAATTTAACAAAAGGGTTACTGCTTTTCCACTTAATTCAAGTTTTAACAAAAATGTGTGTTTTGTTTTAGTGGCATTCATTTTCAACTGGATTGGATTTTGCTTATCATTCTGTATAACTAACACCATAGCAGGAAGGTACGGTGCTATCTGTGGGTTTGGATTGTCTTTGATCAAATGGATTCTTATTGTTCGGGTGAGTTTTTGTATTTTTGTATTTTGCTTTTTGGTTTTAATGTGCAAGCATAATGTCTTTAATTGTATATTCTTCAGTGTATTATGGCTGATTATTAGTTCCATTCTAGTAAAAAATCAACTTATGGGAGTACAAATTCTATTGTAAATTGAACAAAATTTAAATGGCTGTTTTATTTGGAGTTATTAGCACTACTAGCTTCACACTTCCTGTTTTTGTCCTTAATTAGCATTGAATACCTTTTTTTTCCTTACTGAAATATGATTTGATACTTGTTATGAATTACTTAACTTGAGTTCTATGTTGTGGCTTTATTTCCATTGATCAAATAGTACAGTATTACAATCAATGTATATTATTGTGAAAAATATTGAAAATGTTCTCATTCGCATCCTTGCAGTCATTAAATAAATCATTATAAAATGACCCCATGCATGTGTTGAGTAAACAGATTTTAATGGGAGAAGAACAGAATACAGTGGTACCTCGGTTCACGAACTTAATTTGTCCCGTGACTCTGGTCGCGACCCGAATTGGTTGCGACCCGAATCAAATTTCCCCATAAGGTTCAATGTAAATATGGTTAATCCATTCTGACCCCTCCGAATTTGGTCGCCAACCGATTTTGGTCACGTCCCAAATCAAATT